TTATACGAAGTATTTTTATGGTGCAATATCGCATATCAATCAGGGTGCACTAAGTAAACACGGCATTTTTGTCATGTTAGAAGTATGACCATTGTGTCTATCTAGTGTATTCCTCCATGGCGGATTGGTCGTAAGATAAGATAAGATAAATTTTATTATACAGATACATGGTACATAAAATGCAATACATTAAGACATCAGTTACTAATATCACACACATATTGTTCATATATTACTATGATAATAGGTATAGTGTTTCACAACACTCAAAGTCCATATACCATTTATCAATAAATTAAATTAAATTAAATAAATCAAAACAAGGCTTGAAATTAAAAGTTTTCAATGGAGACACCGTAGGCTGGAAAAAGAGAAGATGAGGTTAGAATAAGGTGAGATATTTATTATTTGCAGGCTGCACATTTACATTGGGTTCCATTACAGGAAGATATTAACGATTTAAAATTGCCGTTATGTGTTGTGGTCCTTAAGTTTTCAGGAAGATTATTCCAAAGACAGGCTGCTGCATATTTGAAGGATTTTTACTACCGTATGTAGTAGTCTTAACATGTGGGATGTCCAAAATGTTTGTATATCTGAAGCTGTAATTTTGAGACTTGGGTGTGACAATATTGAGGAGATATGGCGGTGTGGTTTTGTGTATGATTTTGTAGGTTTCTATAGCCATTTGCCTCATTCTTCTAATTTTCAAAGTAGGTATCTTTGCCCGGGCCAAAAGTTCATCGTAGTTGCATGAGAAGTCAGCATAAATAAATCTGAGTGCCCTATACTGAATTTTCTCAATTTTTTATAACATTTGTTTCCGAACAGAGGTGCCAGGAGAGTGGGCAAAAATTAAAGTGTGATAGTATGAAGGTGTGGAAAATTGTGAGTTTATTTAGTCTGCTCAGGTGTTTTCTAATCATGTAGAGTACATTTAGTTGTTGTGAGGCTTTTCTACAAATGGTTTTGATGTGGAGATCGATGTTTTGTGACCAGGTCTTTTTACCTATTGCAAGTGCTTGGAATTTGTCAGGATTTGCTTTCATTTTATTTATATCGAACCAGTGTATGATATATTTGGTGTCTTCTTTGGTAGCTCTCCAGGAGAACCGGGTTCCTCTGAACATGGTGGTAAAGATCGAATTAACAAAGAGATTGTAGTGGTCAGTAGGATTCAGTTCATTCCCGCCATCTTGACCGGAAGTTGGTATTTTTAGAATGGTTAACACTCCGGCCTTCCAAACACGCGGCCGGGGTTCGATCCCCGAAGTCGGCGTACGCATGGAATATTCAGAGAAAGTGTTTTTCTCCTGCCCACACAACTCCAACAACCCAGGTGGGGTATATAATGGTTTGGGATGGGTGTTGCGGTATCTGAGTGTAGCATTCAGGTGAGGTGGCACCATAAATTATACCGTTGGAAGCACGGTCCCACTACAAACAGAACACAATACATCTCCAGCACACACACACACATACACACATAGTGAGATATTAGCCAGGTGGCATATGCTTGATAAGGCAGTTCCTGCGAATTTAGAGTGGCTTATGTTAGCTAGATAGGGCGCTTTATCAAATATTGTATATTTATTTATTTATTTAAAACAAAATGATAATGTGGTACTATGCTGGAATTAATCAACGAAATATTAATAAGGTATCTTGTAACAGTCACACAGGTTGATTATGGTACCAAAATAACTTCGAACTTTCAATTCTTTTTTAAAGCAAAAATGTTATTGAAACTTTTATCCTACTCTAATTGGTATGTCTACCCTTTCTATTTTCTATAAGAACAACTCCGCTAAGGTTCGATATCGCACTGCCAAGTTGTTAACTTTTAATGATTTTCACTATTTTCCGTGTCACGAACCATTTATCAAATATGGAACACCTGTAATTAGATTACATTGATCTTCTGCCAACACGAAATAGTTTATATAAATATGACAAATAGCAAATCTCTTTTAGAAACAGTATATATCTCTATATTTATAAACTACCTGAAAATGTAGGTCTGGCAAAATGGTATATATTAACTTTACAATATGACGTTTGTCTGTTATGTTTTAGTTGATCTGATTTCATCTCTTTTAACGTCTCTTTTCGATCTTTTATTTGTCATAATTGCACGAGTCTTCTGTGTGAATGGGCCATGAATAATTTAATTACTATAATAATAATAACCTTTCCCAAAGAGGATTGAACTACTTATTCCTCAGTGTTTGCTTTAGTAGAAGATTTTATATAACAATATGAATACCCATGATTGTTTAATAAAAACAACCTGCCGAAAACATCACATATCCGCTGTTTTGAGATGCTATAGCAAAAGCGATGACAGGATTTTTCATCAAGACATGAATTGTCAAAATATATTCATATGGCTATAGTTGTTTTATTCGAAAATAAGTTTTGACTAATTTGACTAATAGCGAGCCAAATGTACTCTAACACCATAAACACACTCTAACACCATTAACACACCATAACACCATAAACACACCCGAACACCTTAAACACACCCAAACACCATAAACACACCCTAACACCTTAAACACACCCTAACACCTTAAACACACCCTAACACCATAAACACACCCTAACACCATAAACACACACAAACACCATAAACACACCCTATCACCTTAAACACACCCTAACACCTTAAACACACCCTAACACCTTAAACACACCCTAACAACATAAACACACCATAACACCATTAACACGTCCTAACACCATGAACACGTCCTAACACCATGAACACAGTATAACACAATCAATACACCCTAACACAATAAACACACACTATAATGTAACATAATAAACATACCCAAACACCATAAACAAACCATAACACCATTAACACACCCTAACACCAAAAACATACCGAAACACCATAAACACACCCAAACGCCATAAACAAACCCTAACACCTTAAACACACCCTAACACCTTAAACACACCCTAGCACCTTAAACACACGCTAACACCATAAACACACCCTAACACCATAAACACACCCTAACACCATAAACACACACAAACACCTTAAACACACCCTAACACCTTAAACACACCCTAACACCTTAAACACACCCTAACACCATAAACACACCCTAACACCATAAACACACCCTAACACCTTAAACACACCCTAACACCTTAAACACACCCTAACACCTTAAACACACCCTAACACCTTAAACACACCCTAACACCTTAAACACACCCTAACACCTTAAACACACCCTAACACCATAAACACACCCTAACACCATAAACACACCCTAACACCATAAACACACCCTAACACCATAAACACACCCTAACACCATAAACACACCCTAACACCATAAACACACCCTAACACCATAAACACACCCTAACACCATAAACACACCCTAACACCATAAACACACCCTAACACCATAAACACACCCTAACACCATAAACACACCCTAACACCATAAACACACCCTAACACCATAAACACACCCTAACACCATAAACACACCCTAACACCATAAACACACCCTAACACCATAAACACACCCTAACACCATAAACACACCCTAACACCATAAACACACCCTAACACCATAAACACACCCTAACACCATAAACACACCCTAACACCATAAACACACCCTAACACCATAAACACACCCTAACACCATAAACACACCCTAACACCATAAACACACCCTAACACCATAAACACACCCTAACACCATAAACACACCCTAACAACATAAACACACCATAACACCATAAACACACTCTAACACCATTAACACGTCCTATAACCATGAACACAATATAACACAATCAATACACCCTAACACCTTAAACACACCCTAACACCAAAAACATACCCAAACACCATAAACTCACTCTAACACCATAAACACATCCAACACCATAAACACACCCTAACACCATAAACACACCCTAACAACATAAACACACCCTAAAACCATTAACACGTCCTAACACCATGAACACACTATAACACAATCAATACACCCTAACACCTTAAACACACACTACAATGTAACACAATAAACACACCCAAACACCATAAACACACCCTATCACCATAAACACACCCAAACACCATAAACACACCATATCACCATAAACACACCCTAACACCATGAACACACCCTAACACCATGAACACACCCTAACACCATTAAACACTCTAACACCATGAACACACCCTAACACCATAAACACACCCTAACACCATGAACACACCCTAACACCATAAACACACCCTAACAACATAAACACATCCTAACATCATAAACACACCCTATCATCATAAACACACCATAACACCATTAACACACTCTAACACCATGAACACATCCTAACATCATAAACACCCCTATTATCATGAACACGTCCTAACACCATTAACACACTCTAACACCATAAACACATTCTAACACTATTAACACATCCTATCACCATGAACACGTCCTAACACCATTAACACACTCTAACACCATAAACACATTCTAACACCATAAACACACCCTAACACCATAAACACACCCGATCATCATAAACACACCATAACACCATAACATTTACAGTCATTGCAGCAAAAATAAAAGTTTGTTTTATCTACATGATATATGTGTGCGCATTACATTTTGTATAAAGCTATAATGACCGATAAGGATTAGAAATTTCATCATTATAATGCCCACTGCACAAAACTATTCCATGTAAATCCATTATTGAATTATTAAAGCTCCTTCCATACACCCCCTCCTCCCTGTATTTATCAATGAACTTCGACCTCATATCAAAATTCACAATCGAGCAATGAAGCATGACTTATTTACACGTGAAGTAGGTGTAAACAAGCGATATATGTGTAAACAAGTTTTGTTGTAGAAAATTGTATGTCTATGCCACAAGTGCTATTTACTGTACTCTAATCATTTCAGAATATTTTGATAAAGCTTCAACAGGAAATGGAGGAAGTGAGTTTAAACTACAAACTGAGCTTTGGACTGTTAACTGGTGCAATTCTAATGTACCCGACCGTTTTATTTGTGGTGTTCAAACTTACAAAGGAGATCCAGTTGGTGGCGATGTCATTCAAAGACCAAGCTTCATCACTATCAAAGGAGAGAAAGCGAAGTGAGAATCTTCTGTGCCGGATGCTGCCTGTCTCTGTGGCTAGGAAACTGATGAGAAACGAGAAAGTCGAACCCAGACTGTACAAATCAGCGACCGTGTGTTTCTCTGATATTGTTGGTTTCACCACAATATGTTCCGGGTGTACACCATTCCAGGTCGTAGATTTACTGAATCTTCTGTACAACACATATGACTCAAGACTTGAAAAATACGACGTATACAAAGTTGAAACTATCGGTAGGTACCTCCTTCTGATACATTAGTATATATCAATTAAACGTTATGAAACCAAACCCAAATCTTCGTTTTCTATATTTACAAACAAAGTTTATCATAACATCAACCACACTGCTCGACGTATGTTCTTGTATATTCGTCTGACGTTGCGTAAACTACATCATATTGTCATTCCAAGGAGTAGCGTTATTTGATACTTATAAAACTCAGGATATAGTTAAAGCAGGAAGTTAAATGGTTTCTTATAAGGAATGATTTTAAATGTTCCGTCATTTCCTTAACTTTGATGTCCGGTCAGTTTGGAATAAGGGGGAAATAGGAAATAAATTGATACTGCTGAAGATGCAATGCAACATCCAACGGGGAGAAAATAAATACATTGTTCTAGGATTTTAACCTTCTATAGCAAATTGTACTATAAAGAATTGGCAATGCCAATATGAAAAAACAATTTGGTTGTATGCAAATTAGTATAGCAAACAGAAAAGCGGAAGTTGTCTGTTAGCGTCTGCGTATATGCCACTCGAAAGGAATATTGGCTTTACTGGCATGCCTTCAGTTGACTTTTCACATTAAGCAATTTATTAGTAAATACGCCAATTTTCATGATGTACCAACAATTAAACGCTTGATGCAGTGTCTGTTTCATTCGTATTTGAATATTTACATAAAATTGATTGGCTTTATTCATAAGAAATACTGTTTAATATAACCGCTTCATCTGTGTTAATGTGATGTGTGTATATCTGAATGATATTTTCTGATATGTCATTAACTTTATTCCCTAAAAGGCGACGCATACATGGTCGTTTCCGGTATCCCGGAGACAAACGGCGAGCTCCACGTCAGTGAGATTGCGTTTTTAGCTCTCGATCTTTTGGATGCTACACACAAACTTGATGTTCAAGAACTTGCAAATAAAACACTCCGTTTGAGCATTCGTATCGGCGTAAATACAGGTAAGTCTTCTTAATTAAACTGCACACCTGCATTTTTGCTGGATAGTGTTTTAAATATCCCTACCCACCGCACTCTGGATTTTCGTATATACAGTATCCTCCCGGTAATTTGCTTTCCCACTATAGCAAAAGTTCCAATTACCAACATTGCTTGTACACCTGTACATGTGCGCCTCGTCACATGATTATCGCTGTGCCCTACAAACACGCGCCACGTGACCCTTACTATAACACAGTGAAGTCCGTAACATTGATGAATTCAGATATTCCCATAGGAGGGCTGCCAATTTGGGCCTTCTGGTGGCTTTCAACGATAAGTCTCCAAGTTGACCTTAATTTCATGTCATATCATGTGGCATAACCCCAAGGTAGGTATATACAAAAAAAAACGTATCGGTGAAACCACCGTAAGGCCCAAATTGGCACCCCTCCAAATGTATAGTCAAGGAAAAAAACATAATTCACAGACAGACTGCACATACTCGGCTTTAACAATTATAAGTTGTGAGATACAGCTAGTCTCTCCCACCTACCTTATACATCACTTATTTGTTCTGAAATTTCTCTGAAAACCCTTTAGATGTCTAGAAAATGAGATTATGAACACAATGACATATCCATATTGACTCCATCTATAATAGTGATCGAGTAACATGCATTCTCCTAAGACATGCCTTTTTAGCAATTTTGCTTTGAAATTTAGCACAAGATGTGCAAGTTGTAATGTATTTTAGATTGTAATAATTATGTGTGCTACACTGCCATATTTTTTCCCTCACACTTTCCACAGAGGTTTATTATCAGTATTTTAAATTCTGAAAAAATAAAGTGCATTTTCACTACAAATAGGTTTCACTTTTGATTTTCTTTCCTAAAAATGGGAATTTTTCATGAAAAAATGCTATTTTACACTAATTTCTTCCTGATTCCTGCAATTATATAAGTCAAAATATGATCAAAGAAGTAGTTTAAACAGTAAGTAAGAGTTTTAAACCCATGTCTGATATGAATATCACATGAATTCACTGTAAATTACATAAACAAAGCACCAATCACTATGAACACCATTTTTCAAAACAATGCCAAGGGAGGTAATTTGAAAATGAAAAAAGTCAACAAACTTACATGTTTCAGGTTTGAAATTCTTATTTGGGTAAAATGAGACTCTGTGACATTATTTGCATGTAAATAGCACAAAAGTATGGTGATTCTATTGTGATAAGGGTTTCTTTATTGATGACATCACAGGTATTGTGATGTCATCAATGCTGTGGAGGTCATCAGATTCAGCATCTATGATGTCATCAATGCTCAATGATATCATAATATTACTTGTTCATAGCAACACACTATAAACAAGTATAAACAACACTGTGAAGTAAATTAATGATGGGGAAAAACAGCTGGCACAAAAGAAGAAGTATGAAAATTGTTACTGCAAGAATGAGGGACCACAAATTAGTATTACCTACTGCATGTAATGTTGATCTAAGATCTGGCAGCTCATCAGACCCAAATTTCTCGCCTTTTAAAACTGTTCCCGTCAAGATCAGGAGGCCCCAAAAGAACGTGGTGGATGTCATACAGCACAAGTACCAAGGACCGGAAAGAACGGTACTTTCGAAGCTGAGACCTGCTGTAGCTGATAGGGAAGTAGAGGGCACCCTGGCTAACACACAAAATGAAAGCATAATAATATCACTAAAATTTCTGTCTGTTCTGTGCCAGTCATTAACACTACACTCATGTGTGCAGCCCAACCTTAATATCAACATAGTACACAGAATTTTACCTCCTGTAAAGCTAGCTTTGCATGCGTAGGCACCCTTTCGGATTATGGCCAAAATTTGGGCTCGAACCAAAATTTTATTCTTTTATTTTACAAATGTGAAGCTTACATAGCCCACTTCATCATGCTTATACCAATTTTAGTATAGTTTTATTTTTATAATTTTTTCACATATCATTATACAGGGGTTAGCCATTTAACAAAAATATCACGTATGGCCACAACCCTCTACTTCACACTGCTACCTTACGTACGATAGTCTTGCTACGATAAATCTCAAAATAATACACAAACTTTAAACGAGAGAAAACAGTATATCAGTCCGCTGATAAGACATAAACTGGAAGTAAGCACTGAGCAAAGATGACGTCATACGTTTATTTTACGGTTTAGCAAGATAAACTGTTAACACTTTTATAATGATAAAAGCATGGCGTGGTGCTTGTTTGCGAATCATTTTCACAAGAATGCAGAAGTTAAAAAAAAGAAAAACATTGTATGCATTAACACTCCCAGCAATCAGGACAACCAAAGAGTGATGACCAAACAGCGACAACAAACAGCGACAAAGAGTGATGACCAAACAGCGACAAAGAGTGATGACCAAACAGCGACAAAGAGTGATGACCAAACAGCGAGGGCATTACGATTGCTCAAGCTTTTTTGCCCATGTTAGTTGTGTTTACATTATATTCTAGCGCTTAACATACTGGATGCGAATTAATATGTGTGATGATGATGTCACGATAGCCGGACATTGTTTTTGTCTTACAGGCCCTGTAGTGTCGGGTGTGGTTGGCGTCAAAATGCCGAGGTTCTGCTTATTTGGGGATACTGTCAACGTAGCGTCCCGCATGGAATCCACGGGGAAACGTAAGTGAAGTATAAGGATAATTAACGAATATGTGCCAGGCACTTCCATAATATTGTAAACTGAAATCGATTATGTGTTTAATAATGCATGTGTGATTCCTTTTCTCATAAGAATTCGCTAAAGCATACCCTTTACTAGTAATTGAGGTACAATGTACAGCATACCTCTTTTTATTTAATGTTTAGTTTATCCCAAAAAAGTTATTTGAACAAATTTTTCAATGTGCAGAATTCAAATTAATGTATTATTTTGAATCACTTAAGACGGGGCCGACACGTCTCTAGATTCTCCTGCATCGATGATATTGTTTGGGATGATACATCATCAATGCATTCAGTATAATGAATATCAATCAAAATATAGTAAAGATCACTGTATTGATTGTTTTTGTTTTGGAATGTAGGATAAAATATGAATTGTATGGTTGTTGCCAAAAAATGTGATTTGAAGTTATTATTTTATAAGCAAGCAAATATAACAGGAACATGCTTTTTTGAATTGGAGTGTTAAGCACATCGTCTACTTAGAGCTCCGATTGAATTGATGCAACAGTCAATCAAACATGAGTGCCAACTGTATATCTTGAATAAGTTTAGTTTTCATTCGGCGAAAGTGAATACTAAAAGCCAACATGTTCTAGTTAAGGAAGAGTGGTGGTAAGTGCGGTAAAGTCGTTATTGGCAGTACGGCATTTTTTTTTTATATTTAGGTGAATAAAAGACATTCCATGCCTTACATTAAACATTTTCTGTCTGAGGATTGGATGACTTGCTTGGGGCACATTAATCCCTATAATATGCTGACAGAAAATACGATAAACCCTTTTGCAATTCTTAGCGCGAAATTTTGTGGCTAAATAAAGTTGTATCTTCTTCGTTTGGGCAACACTCTGAATAAACCATGATAGGAGACTTGCTCACTATGTCTTAAATAGTATTTCCCAGATTTGACTGCCGATACCACAGCGGATGGAACATATCTCATACGACTGATATGTGTTCCTTCCCTCTTGACCGCATAATGGACATCACAGAAGGCAAATTTTATCTTTTTCCCCGATCGCAAAATTTGGGAATTGTGTATGTAACCTACTCTTTATTTTGGCAGTGTCTACTACGGCACCCGTCTTCTTACATCCTCGATACTCCAGGGGTTGCGCTAACTTGAAGTACAACAAAAGAATATCTCGGTTGCAGAACGGTAAAATTTACAGCTTTGAAGTCGGGTGTTGCTCAAAGAAAAAGTATCAGCCTAGCGATTGGTCATTTTGTTTTACCCGAGACGAATCTTATTGCTAACCGCGTGCCTTAAATTTTGCTATTACATATTCCAGAGTGCAGGGTTGGAAAGTGACCGTATTTCCAGGAGTGTCAAGGATGTACACATGACCTCAGCTCTTGCGCGTACGCGACACCAAACGAACGACTTGGAATGTTACCATGTCCATTGACCATTGTTTGTTGTCTCTGGGATGTAAGATTCTAAGAAAAGAAAACAAAATACGTCGTTCAATCCATATCTATGTTGATTGATCTTATACTTTGTTTGTAGCTCAGAAGATACAGTTAAGTTCTAATACTGTGGAAGCATTACACCGGTTCCCTTGCTTTCAGACACAAGAGAGGGGGTTTGTGGATGTCAAGGTAACTACTGCAGGATACCATAACGTAATGAATAAGTCCTGGTAAATGACGAAATGTTTCCTTCTGTTTAAAGAACAGCACAAAATAAATATATCAAAAGTGACTAATTTTCAAAGTACTCCATTATGTGGTGAAGGATTTTAATCGTAAATAAATAAAAATTTAATAAAGAAAGAAATTACTCAATTTTCGCGAAAATTTAATTCATCAATGGATCATCTGAATTGTTGAAAGGAAGAATAATATATATATTGTTCATATTTATTTGTGTGTATTTTAATTATATTTATACTCTAAATGGTCTCTCTCATGAAGTAACAAATATATAATTGTATTATTTGTTGCTTCATTACAACAATAGACATCAAAATTGTGAATTATGTTTGACAAATTATGTGGTTTTGTCCAAAAGAAGCCATTTGCAACTTTGGTCCCCAAACTTTACCCTCTAATATCTGAAAATGGTCACTAAGCTTATCTTAATTTCATGTCAAATTATGACATCATAACTTAAAGATATATACCTTAAATTGGGATATTTTACTTTAGTAATTTTTTTTGCGTATTTTGCACAAGATTCATATTCGCAAAAATGTAATGACTGTAAAAGAATACCCTCTAATAAGCTTTATTCGTTAACTTCGTGTCAGAGTACCAGATCACCTGAATTGTGTTTACAGAAGCTGGAAAGGTTTAAGCCTGCAGCGATAATCTATAAGGTTCTAGTTATGTATTGTAGGATGGTTAAGTATTTACCTGTAAAACTCGGCGAGTCCTCGTTTCTAAAGAAGATCGCTGAGTCAAGACTAACAACTAGTCTTACCCGTGAGTGCACCAATCTAATCTTTTAGAAATTGCATTCTATAGCATAGTCCGAAATGGCCGAAAAGTTTGACCAGTACATTTTACAACTATGTACAAATTTTAAACAGACCTTCACTGTTTTAACCATTTTGACGACGATATTACAGCTACATGTAACGACCATATTTATGACTGCATAAATGAGTCAATACCAGATCATATTTCGTTTAAAAAAGAGGATGTAGGGCTAAAGTAGGAAAATACGCTGCTGAGCATGGCAACACTCAGATAATCTATGAAGTGCAAATCGCTCAAAAAGCTTAACTTGCGATATTTTAACGTTAGTTATATTTTTGCTCATAGTTCCAATTCGCAACAAAATAGACTAGTAAAACTAAAATTACGGATATTTTTGAGAAATTTGCAAGAAATAACCTACGTAAAAATTTCTCGATTTACGGCATATGCATGTTTTTGTATCCTAGAGAGCCCCCTGGAGGAACATAACGTCTTCACTCTTCCCCTTGAGTTTGATAATATGGTTGCTTTTAGAACGGTTTGTGTTTATCGATTGGGTATTTTTTTTTTATCAATATTGGATCTTGTCCAATTTAAGGAAATTCTTCATTAAAATATTACAGTAAAACAATGAAGAAATTCCTAGATAAAGTATAGACATGACTAGTATTGTCATCTATGGTTTTGTGAAAACCAGATACGTCATACATGTACTACATACAGTCAGAGGTGCTGTTCTATCTAAACCGTTGTTAATGAGACACTGCTGACTATGTGGTTGCAAAACACAGAAACACAGTATGTGGGTAAGTTGACTAAATGCCATATTTAAAAGGCATTATGTTGACAGTGCTGACAATGGAGTTTTGCTGATATTTAACAGTGTGGCAAGTGTTGGTACATGTGAGAGATTGAAGAGAGTCGACCGAACTGCATCGGTGAGACTTAATTAAATGTCCACCAAACAACGAGTTAATAACTACTAGTGTTGTCATCTCGTGATTTCATGTCATAGTATTTTATGTAATTACTGAACTTTTGTATTCGACAGGGAAAAGGTGAAATGCGGACCTCTTGGTTATTACCGTCTAGTTTGTCGCCGAGTAGTCACGTTCGCATGCAGCCTCCTCCGGATCACGCTGCTACGACAAACATGTGTGGAGTGTAGGACATTAATATCATCACGATGGCACAGCATGCTTGAGGTGACATGGTCGTTGATTAGTCGACATGAACTGTGCTTTTACTGTTTTTCATTCACGAAACCGTTCAGGCTACTCATGTTCTCTGACATGTTTCCTTTATAGCAAGAAATACGTTCCACATGTAGATACATTGATGTCAATCTGTTTAAAAAGGACAATTTTCAGAGATTTGTTTCATGATGTTTGCACGTATATACTGATTGTAGATAAAATGTTTCAAACTTTCAAGCAACCTACGTTTTATACATTTTAACAAAAACTAAATAATAACCATTAAATACGATTATTTTCTGTAGAAATATTTGCACATTTGAAGGAATTGTAGACTCCCTGTGCCGAATGGAAACCTGGAGCATCAGTATTTAAAAATTCTCACACGGTTACTCCAGACAAATATTACCTTAAAAAACTAAAAACAAAACGAAATAAAAACTTGTACCTGAATAACATAAAGTAGTTTTTCTCTTAGCATAAGCAATAAATTTAACTAATAAATAGTCACTCTACGAATTATAGGAAAATTAAAAATCTATTGTTTTATCGTGCAAGCCGAGGTGAAGGTTCGTCTTTCTTCACCTGCCCTTCCTGTATCAGCGCATAGAAAATGGATAGCATTGACTGAAAACATATCTGAAACAATGTCCTTGTAAGATGGTAAAGTGGTAAATTTCAATTCAATGATTGATACCCAATTAACAGTCGTACTTAGATAAATAATTTGGTAAAAGTGAACTTCACTTCAGATACGGAACAAATTCCGTTACAAGGCATGCAGGCTGATGTCTTTAATTAAGCTTGGTATTTTATCAACATTCTCGTCGTACATTTTTTTTTTTTTTTTATGTTATGGAGCGATAACATAAAAAACCGGAGTATACTCTCATCATAAACCGCTTATAATTTAATCTACTATACACGGTCCCTGTGGAAATCAACTTTTATTGATGGACTCTTTTCTCTTAGAAATTATTACGCCGCTGTATCAGCTAATCAAAAGCGACGTTACAAAACGGCGATGTCATTTTTTTATGTTATGGGCTGATAACATAATATTTTAGGCCAATGAAAAGGTTTGTTAAAAGCGAGATTAAATTATTACGAAATGACGTGTAAATCTTAACAATCGAGGTCAAAAGACTATCGGATTTACATTTATATTTATATACAGTTTATATACGTTACTGAAACATTTTATAATGACTTATGTACATTATGTTAGTTATCACTTTGTTACATTCAAATTAGTTACGAAAAAGATTGAATTGTCATAACTTCAATAATAAAGCATTAAAACAAATTCAGAATAACCCAACCTAGATTTATATTATTTCAGTTACTTAAGTCAAACTAAATGTATTCAATTCACATATTTCAAACGCTGTATTGAATATGACTTTTCACAGTGTTGAAATTTACACTGACCATTCTGTCTTTTTGAGGACTTAATAGTTGTAAATGTTATATTGTTATTGATGTTTGTATATCAGGAAATTATTATGATATTTTTGCTTAGATGTCTTTGTAGTTGTTAATCGTCAGCAGTCATATCAGTCCTCCATACAATTATCCGGTGTAATCAGTTGAAATGTTACAGTTATAATACTACTGTTACAAAGACCAACTCGGTGCTATTTATAGCAACCATCTGAACTGGAAATGGGCAGTCTTATTGCCTACATTGGCACACTTGCACAGAATTTTAATAATTTACAAATGTATGTTGTTGTAATACTCTTGTACGATAATAAAAACAATAATTGCTTGTAATATTTGATTTATGTTAACGCATTTCATATTGTCATTTGTCCACTGAGATGATGAAGATGGTGTGGCACGATTACAGGAAGACTGTATCAGACATCAGTGCTACTGAATCAGTGTTAAATGTGTATGCCACTTTCGTGTTTTATTGATTGAGGGAGGTAACAATATTAAGTTGATCCTTCTGAGCCAACCAACCCAATAGAAAATACACGAACATAGGGTAAGAAAAAAGGAGATGTGATGTCGGAATCGGTCATTAGCCGGAGAGGAGAATAGCAGGCTATCTTTAGCTTGTTGAAGCAATGTATGTTGAATGTAAGAGTAATAGAACGAGTATTAGAGGTAAGGGCAGAACTGGGGTGGTCGTATTATGTTCATGTATTAAACTGTTGTTAATCTACGAATAAATATCTTTTTAAAAGCTGTTGTTTGACTGGTTTATACATTTCGATCCCCCCCCCTGGTCTAAACTACACAGTGTATACACATTGGGTCAGGTCAACTGCTGTACCTGAGTGGAAACGGCTTATTCACATACACAAACACGGTAGCAGCCCGAACTTCAAAGAAATGTTGCAAAGATTTATCCTGAACGGCTGTAAATATGGAACCACGTAAATATTCTGCCATAATTATTTCGTTACTTCAACGCCGCTTGCTATTTTAATAATACTATACGTTAACTTGATTAAGTATACCGCTGTGATCATCTCTCGTGTTTTACCTTCTGGTTAGTCAGTGCTTACTGTAAAACTGTAACCAAACGTGACTATAAGGGGGTTTGTTTGTCAAATCATTGACTATGTAGGGGTGGAATAGAGTAACCTACGTCTTTTGACTGAAACCTGCAAACTACGAGGTTATACTAAATTATATTCGTGTCCAATGAAAAAGTAACAACTATGACACATGTACCTAATGGTGATATTTGGGTGGCTAACGGTACTATAATAGTAAAAATAAGGACAAAGATACCGTCAGCTTTTTAAAGCTAAATAACAGTCTCAAGAAAAACACTCTTTTTTGTTACAGGTTTTAATGGATAACTCAAAATACCACAAATAAAGCTGAAACGTCTAATAGTTGCATGACATAAATACATGTTTATGAAAAGACTGCTTATAATTTTACCCTTGACTTCCCCAACGGCAATATAAGGATTCGCAAACGAAACAAATCCCCTCGTGTGTGGTTTAAGATTTTATATTTAACAGTACCTCACTACAGTGTGCAAAATTGTTTGAGGTATTCTTATACTTCACCACTAAAGGGAGCTAAATAAAAAACATTCAGAAACACAAACTCATTTGAGGCATTTTCAAACTTAACCAGTATATATATATATTGTCAAATTCCGTGCAGGAATACATTTTCTAGAGTCACGAAAAAGATGTTTTAGAAATAGAAATGGTTTGGTTTGGTTTAGTATTGTTTAACGTCCTATTAACAGGTATGGTCATTTAAGGACGGTCTCCCCTGTGTGCAAGATGCATGCGTGTAGTGTATGCGTGTGTGTTTTGGAAGGCGGCGATATGTTCGTGTTTGTCTCCTTGTGATAGCACGGAACTGATGCCGACTTTAAAGTGCTACCTCACTGAAACATACTGCCGAAGACACCCAGCAGGACACCCACCCGGTCACATTTTACTGACAACGGGCGAACCAGTCGTTCAATTCCTAAATTGCTGAACGTTAAGCCGGAGTAGAAACTACTATTGTTACAGATTCGGGTATGTCTCGGCCAGGGGACAGAACCCTAAGCCTTCCTCAAAGGGGCGAACGCTCAACTAAAGGCCAAAATTGAGGCATTATCAAGGGAGACATTAGGAAGAAGAAAATTGTTTAGAAAGAAGAGAAAAAGTAAGATCCCAAGTTTAGTCGCCTCTTACGATCATACAATGGGGGCATCAGGTACAATTCTTACGCCCTACCTGCAGGGACCAAAAATAGAAATGACAAGATTGAACTCGACTTAAGGAAACTGAAACACAATCTTGTTCAAATATATGACTTTGATCAAAATTATATTATGCATTAATGAAATCGCTGGAGCAATAAAAAGAAAAAATCTATGAATAGTAACGGTGACCTTGACTTTGACCATAGACCGCTGAAATACAAACTCGTTCTAGATATTTTCATGTTTGACCAATAACTGAAGTTTGACCAAAGTCCGTGTAGGAAAGAAATCGCCAGAGTAAAAAGAAAACAAAATACAAAGAGTAACGATGACCTTGACCTTGACCTTGACCGCTGCAACACAAACTCGTTCGAGGTGTCCTTACATTTGATCGAAATCTTTGCCGAAATGAAGTCGCAAGTGCGATGAAAAAAACCCTCTATATGTAGGAACGGCGACCGCGACCTTGACCATTTACCGTTGATACATGACTCGTTCAAGGTATGTTCATGTATGACTCATACGTGATGTTTTATCAAAATCTAGCCGAAATGAAGTCGCTCGAGCGATGAGAAAAAATATCTTTATAGTAGCGGTGTCTGTGACTTTTGACCGCTGATATATGGAACCCGTTCGAAGTATTCTTGATCGGTGAACGCACGTACGACTGTAACGCTATAGCCCCTCCCCGGCTCTGTCGTTAGGGGATCACTGGTCACCAATCGACATACTCAGGACAACAGTGACCAACTTCACTCACTTAATATATACTAACAAACCTTCTGGTCCTGACCCCACCCCTATCCAAGTCTCCAAGTCTCCTGTTAGACCTCTATATTTACTATCCAATTAAACTACTCCATGGTAAAATACATATATTACACCCGTAAAAGGACGAGGGAAATGTTGTCATAAATGACTAATCAAATTACTGAACCAATTTCTGTCACTCCTTATTCTAGCAAACTACTTAAAGTTATTTTTAAACTCATGTTCAAATATCTCTCGTGATAAAATGTTTTTCAGAATCATGTTGTTTGTCTAAGGATTCAACTGTTTCCCCGTTATTAATTAATCACACAGGTACACAATGAAATAGTTAATCATCTTGACAAAGCCAAGGAAGCCAGAACGTTTTGTCTGTAGTATCATCAAAGACTTTGTTAAATTATGGCATGACACTTCATTTACAAGTTTGAGAGTGGTATCGACCTAACATTTGTGCATGGATATACATTTAATCGACAAACTTTGTAGGAAGAGGCAACAAAATGTTCTGTCTTAACGTGAAAGCTTCACGTTGTTGAAATTGACAGAAAAGGACAATAAGCTGCTGACATTTTCAATAAACATTTGAGCAAATAATGAAAACTATGTATACCCATTAAAACAGAACCCGCACTCTCTCTCTCTCTCGGTGGATCTACCCTGCATCCTAACTTATTGTTAAAGAATCCATCATTGCTAATCACAAGCACTAAGGTCGGTATCTCAACAGCCATGCTATAATACATGTACTCTATATAATACATGTACTCTATATAATACATGTAATATATATAATACATGTGCTCTATATAATATATGTGCTCTATATAATATATGTGCTCTATATAATATATGTACTATATATAATAAATGTACTCTATATAATAGATGTACTATATATAATAAATGTACTATATATAATACATGTACGCTATATAATACATGTGCTCTATATAATATATGTACTATATATAATAAATGTACTCTATATAAGACATGTACTCTATATAATGCATGTACTCTATATAATAAATGTACTCTATATAATCCATGTACTATATATATACAAATGTAGTTCATGTATTATATAGAGGACATGTATTGTATAGAGTACATGTATTGTATAGAGTACATGTACTCTATATAATCCATGTACTATATATAATAAATGTACTCTATATAAGACATGTACTCTATATCATACATGTACTCT